CTGGAAAGTGTCACAAAGCGAGTGAGTGTATAATTGTTTCTAAGCAGATTCCAGAATATCTGCCAGCCATTTTGCGGTAGAGTGATAAGGGGAACCTGATATATCCAGAATTGGATGAAGTGGAAGGCCAAACTTGTGTACATTTTGTAGACCATAAAGTCTTGGTATCATCGAACATGTTCGCTGGATCTGGTCATAGACATTACCACTGATTAGTTGACTGGCCTTCATTCTCTTCAGGATGTCAATGAGCTCCTTCTCAATCAGTTCCGTTTTGGTTACAGGATTTCATCATGAGCTGACAGTGGTTAGAGAGCTATTGGAAAACCTAGGAGACCTAAACAGCTGTTTCGTCCTAGTTTGGGACTCTTCACAGTACGCACCTACCGGGATTCGAACCCAGAACCTTCTGGTTACAAGGCAAGCTCGTATACCATTAAGCCGCTGGGACCCGATCCAATGGCCCATGAATTCTAACTTCTGCCAATTCACGATATAGCGCGACCCATAGCCAATGTCTTCGGCGAGCATTTGTCCTCACACCCGACCAGTTGCACCCTACTGGTCACGAATTCCCACTGGATACCCAGGTAACTACCTACCTGAATAGGGCAGCAGGTCGGGTGTGAGGACAAATACTCGCCGAAGACATTGGCTAGGGGTCGTGCTATGTCATGAATTGGGAGAAGTTAGAATTCATGGGCCAAATCTCTACAAACTAACACTGAAACATGAAAGTAATGAAAGGTTTTATTTCATCGACATTACCATGCAACGCCTGGAAGATGGTAGTTCCCAGAGGTCAATTTAACGAAAGCCTACATGGAATGGACAATTATTACATTTTGATAGTTTTTGTCCAAATAGCTTCAGACCAGCACTGGTCAGAAACTTGTTATGTAAAGTCTGGACAATATGCTGTTAGATGAAGAATTTCTGATTCTCGAAAAGATGTTGAGAAACACCGACCGTGTGAGGGCTCAAATACCAAATAAGTCACAGTTGGAAAGAAACCTATCTTCATTCAACAGAACTTTAAAGGTGATGATGTGGTGAGAGCTGGCTGTTAGCCAAAATTGGTAGACAGTAATTTACGTCAATGTTTATGTCCCAAATACTGGTCGTGAGAAAAATGAGAACAAAGCCTTTGCGTAGGCGGATACAGTTAACATATAGATGATCTGACATTCAAGACACAGCCACAAAGAGATGCAAGATTAACTTTCTGTGAGAACAACCAGTCAGAAGACTGTTTTTCTGATAACAATAATCTATAATATGTACATGAACATCTATAAATATATGTTGATTTCCATAATACAGGATCTGTTGCCTGGCCCTTGTCTTCTGTCGTTACAATAATATTGTAGGAACAGTTTACAAAAGATTGAATACCTCACTAACCAGAAGCTATCCTGCGGCTAAGTTGATTCCCATTTATCGGGCAACATGCTTTTTGGTACGATCAAAAGTCGACAGATACACTTTGACTGTGTACACAAATTAACGTGTATCTGCAGTAGCAGTTACGTCAGGAGATCAGAAGGAACGGGTACACCTTCGATTTTCTGAACATGTGCCAAAAAGCCTTTGGCTTTAACTTCTCCTTCCTTTGATATAGTTAAACCTTGTTTGTCTCTTATTTCTATGGTTTGACTCGAACTCATCACATTGTAACTCAGTCTTTTAGTTACTCATCATCAACCTATCTCTATTATGTAACTCTTTTGCCACTGTACGAAATCGTTTATTTTTGTTTAGGCTTGAACTTTCTGAGCATGGTTTACTAGGTTTGGAGTCTCCTACCACCAACTGAATTTATTTAATATTTGCAAATATGTTAAAACTGCTCTGTACTTTAGGCTGTACGCAACTGATGAGAAGCCGGAGAAATAAATAGTAGTACCATCATATCTTGCTCAAACTGTTGTTCTTGCTTTATTCAAATATCTGATATATGCAATCATTTAAATCACGGAAAATACCCATTGAGTCGAGTCATGAAGAAAATAAAAGACAGATTCAGCGAAGAGAATTTTCTTTATCGACGAAAACATCTTCAGAGGCTGTACAGTCGTATTTATACTTACTAAAAGTGTATAGTGGTCTGTTAGCGAGTAATAGGGGTTGACATAATTGATATAATTAATCATAAGTGGCTTTAGAAGTGAAAAGAATTAAAAGTTAAAAGTCGTAAATTACATGGTACTCAACGGCACAATGATAGAAATTTGATAAGGTTAAAATTGCTCTTGAGTGAGAATAAAGGTATTTGAGTGTCAATTTAACAAATGTGAAAATATAGAAAAGGAGCATATGAGATTGATAATAGTGAATTAATTACTAAAGTAAAAGCCAACTAAAAGTAAAATTAAAAATTTTAAAAAGAGAAGAGAAAAGTCAAAATGTTTTTTTACAGGGAACGATTAGTGAAGTTAAGACCAAAGTAGAATAAGAGACTGGACAAACTTTTTCTGCATACAGAGTTCAGGGTTGTATTTATGGACCGCCAGCGACTCCATCATGCACAAAAGCCGAAACCTGACGCCCTTTGTACCACTTGGCTTCACTTTGTAGATGATCTTGAAAGACGACTCTGGTGGAGCTACGTGGCATGAGTTTACCAAATGCTCGAGAATTGAACTAGTAATTGTCTTACGCTGTCCCTTTGATAATCATGCCGGATAATGTTCAGAGATGCGTTTGGAAAGCGTGCGCTTTGTGCAACCAATATAACTAGCCCCACACTAGCTGGTGAAATTATAAAAACACATTGAGGTGGCCCGAAGCGGCAGTTTATCCTTCACATATCCATTGATCATTTATCGGCTGTAGAAATCGATACGTAACTCACCCATAAAAAGGCTTTCGCCAGTGATCTGGATAAGCGATTCTTCAAGATCTCAGCTGCGGTATCACCTTTAAATTCAACACTCATAAATAGCAGTTTCTTCGGCACCGTCTGGATTCTTTCAGGCTTTTCTCTCTTCACTAATCGTTCCCTGTAAAAAAACATTTTGACTTTTCTCTTCTCTTTTTAAAATTTTTAATTTTACTTTTAGTTGGCTTTTACTTTAGTAATTAATTCACTATTATCAATCTCATATGCTCCTTTTCTATATTTTCACATTTGTTAAATTGACACTCAAATACCTTTATTCCCACTCAAGAGCAATTTTAACCTTATCAAATTTCTATCATTGTGCCGTTGAGTACCATGTAATTTACGACTTTTAACTTTTAATTCTTTTCACTTCTAAAGCCACTTATGATTAATTATATCAATTATGTCAACCCCTATTACTCGCTAACAGACCACTATACACTTTTAGTAAGTATAAATACGACTGTACAGCCTCTGAAGATGTTTTCGTCGATAAAGAAAATTCTCTTCGCTGAATCTGTCTTTTATTTTCTTCATGCCATCATTTACCTTATTTTAATCAAGACGCCTTTGATCTACGCTAGGTTAATAATTAATTTAGTAATACTGAGCAAGAAGAAGTCGTCTGTTTCATGATATTTTTGACAGTGACATCACTAGACAAGCCATTACTCGAGTGGAACCCGAAAGGGAGGCGGCGAGTTGGTCGTCCAAGGGTGACTTGGAGGAGGTCATGCGAGGAGATGAAAGCATGTGGACAGACCTGGAGCAGGGTGAAAAAGTTGTCAGAAAACCGAAGGCAATGGAGGTGCGCAGCTGAAGCCCTATGTTCCTCTAGGAACTAAAGGATACAATAATAATGATAATAATTAAATTCAGAAGTATCGGAGCTGTGAGTAACTGAACCATAGATGACTTATTTCAATGTTTGCTGTCAGTAGTTGGACAACAGTCACATTAAGCAATGGTGATTGCTAGCCTGACCACTGACTGGTTTAAACATATAACTCTGCACCATGTGCACCAGGTCGAGTCACCACACTCCATGTAGCACAAAAAGCAAGAGAAGAAAGTAAAGAGGAATGCAAAATAGAGACAGTAGACAGAAATATGAGGCAAAAAGAACAGTAATAACGAAGAACAATATAGTTTTATGGGGTATTATAAGTCTCAAGGAGTGGATGCATTTGCGCCACTGAGAACGATTTTGAGCAATATCACCAATTAAAAATTTTTTTTAAATTTTGATTACAGCTTGACTTCACACCGTTTTTTGATAAAAGTCTGAAATTTTCAGCATGTGATACCGGTAGCTCAAATTTTGCAGTCCAACCATTGATATCGGGTGTGCGCCGGTAGGGGATCGAACACCGGGCCATGTGCTTGGTCGGTAAGAATCCTAACCGCTGTGCCACAAGCCATTGGCTTTTACCAAACAGTCAGGGAATCTACACCTCCCTACGTGACTGGTTGGCTTAAACTAACTGTTGTGGATTTCATTGACTGATGAAGCCATGTTTTGGTTTGACCACCACTGGCTCCTTTCCAACCTGACCCTATCTCAGCTAACATTGCCCGTCACTCGATGAAGTCGACGGCTAGGCATACGTAACACATATTCTAACCATCCCAGTCAATTTAACTTTACATTCTCGTCTACTGATTTCCCCTCCTTACCTAGCACTCGACGGATGCCTCACCTCAATATTGATCACCCTATTTTATACCACTTCATACAGGAGATAGAACGCAGGGACCTATGATCAAAGACAGCTAGCCAGGCTTTTCAAGACTTCCACTCTCAATGGTCAGGCCTCACAGCCATAAAAGGAGGAGGGAGCGGACTGATGAACAGTACACACGCTCTTTGATCGATAGCCAGCGGGATAGCATGTCTACGCCAGAGATGGCATAAACTGGCATATGGGAACCGAGCTGACTGATAGCCAAATCGAGAGTGTGTAATCACCAGGGGTATGTTACGTTCGTTTGGTGTCAACAGCTTAAAAATGATCGCGAGTGAAAAGTAAAGTGTGTAAATACTATCAAAAATATATGTTCGGCAACTACACAATCCCCCCAAAGTGAAATATATTATCGCATTTCCCACTGGAAACCAAAAAGAATTATGTATAGTCCCATCGTCTAGATTTATTTTTAAAATAACAATTCATATCAAGCGCATAACGTAAACCACATAATATGCACAAAGTTTCCCACTTTTAAGTTACTTTTTATTTATTTATATATTTATGTAAAGCAATAATGATTATTACTTATCATGACAAACGACTCGAAAAAGTCACAACACACTAACAAACATTCACTTGATTCACGCTTGTAAGAAAGTACAACAATCAGAGATGACACACACAGAATGACTTTCTCAAAACAGAACAAAACAAACCAAAGAAGAAAAAAAATATTAACGTGATACTACACTTATGATAACAAACACTCGTGGTTTCCAGTTCCACTTTGAATTTAGATTAAAATTACAATTGATTTCAACAGTGTAAAATAAAAAGCCAAAGAAAACAAACAAAAGTGACTAAATAAATGAAAAATTAAAAAAAAAATTTAAAGTGAAAATGACAAACATTTAGCAATTCAAAGTAGTCAAAAATATCTTGAATAAGAGAGGTGACGTCGGATGACTGACTTTATGTTGTGGTGATGGTGGTGCAGGATGGGGAGACAAGTGAATTGACTAGTTTCCATTAAATAAACAACTCTTGAAGAAAACAAAATTATCATCTATAGAGCATGAAATGTCAAATAAAATAATAATAATAATAATAATACTGCAGTGAATGGTGAAAAGACCGCAAACGTACACACACACACACACACACAGGCATACAAACTCAGACACACTATGACAAAATGTGAACATGAGTAGGAAAAGGTATTGCAAAGGCAGTACAATTATATCAAATAAAAAGAAAAACAAAGCATAAGGAATCACTCTGTAATACTATGCACTCTGTAGGTAACTTTTTCACACGGGTAAAAGGTTAGCGAGTAAGTAGTAATAGTAGTAGTAGTAGCACACCGTAGAAATTCTTATTATTTATGAGGCTTTCTTATTCTGGTCAACATTTTCATAACCGGCAGAATGGATAAAGCCATTATTATTGTTATGCTGACTGATAGTATCAATAGGAGGAGGAGGAGGAGAAGGCGTAGTCTCTTGCGAACCAGTTATCCAACTTGTAGCCCATATATTAATACCATCAGTATAATAGGTGAAGTAAGTGAACAATAACTGAATTACAACGAAGTAAATCAATACCGACAGAGAGGTGCATACAAGGTAAACTATTCCAATCATTACAAGAAACCAGAAACCAGTGTTCAACATCCCGAAATATGTAAACATTAGTTTATTATTATTATTATCCTCTGATCTATCCACATAGAATAAGCGACTGCCAGGTGAAATCTCATTATCGAATTGACGTATTCCAATAGGTTTAGCTACACAGAAAAAAAAAGTTGAAAAGATAGGCAGAGTTCACTAAACGATGATAATAACCAAAAATCACAATCTTCCGCTTTATTTTATATTGGTAAGGACACAATGTTTTTGTCCGCTTTTATTTTACTCCTACTGCTATCTCATGTTATTTCATTTTATTCTGTTGTATATTATTTTTTTTCCCACTTTTTTTTGTCCTTTTTGATCACTATTCACTTATTTCTAATGTTGAAATTGTCTACGTCAATCAGATGATACAATCGGATTGTTGGACAATAGTTACAAAAACACTTCTGCACGAGTCTATTGTACGAGGTCAACGTTTCACATTCTTCGGTAAGTGAAATTACGTTTTCCAAATGCTACTTATTGATCGGAAATCACGCGTACTAATGCGCCTCTTTCCTAATGAGGTATGAAGTCATAAAAAGTATCCATTGTATCAGCACTGAACAACACGATGATCACAGATGAAACACAAGCGAATTCTTTGAACAGGATTATCCGTGTAGAAGATGGATAATATGATTTTTTCTAACAAAACACAATGTCAACTAGTGATAATAATAAATAAATGGGCATCACGATTTATTTTCTACTTGAAAAAAGTTAATCACTAATATTCCTCATAAAATATTCTTCACAGATCATGTGTACTAGAGAGAAGTATAAACAGGCGTTAGAAAAACTTTGAAAGAAAGCTAGAAATTAACGGAAAAAGTTGACATTGCGGTCAAATGTAATCGCGTGTTCGTTACTTAAATTTACTACGAGTGTCACACGCCAAACACATATCCAACACCATTAAAAGAAATCATATATCAACATATATTTACTATGGATAAACATATCAGCCTTGGAAATTCTGAAAATCAATGTCTGGATATATGTAGTCACTTGAAAGCTTCTAGAAATGACTAACATACTATCTAGGATACATAGCTGTTGTCAAAAAATTTATGTATCTGATAGTGAAACACTACACTTTATTACCAACTGTGAACATACCAAACAAAAATCGACAATTTGACAGAAGAGGCGACGGAGACAGGACCTCGGGTGAGTTTGTGAAAAAAAAACTAAATCACAGTCAATGATTGGAATCTGAAGTAAAGTCATCTTTTCCACTCTCCTGGAAAGCATCTTTTTAACAATACGCATTAAACGTGGAAGACGATGTCGCAGCAAGCTAAGATCGAATTGTGAAAGAGAGACAAACATTCACTACTCTGAAATCGATGTGGTGTACACATCTACAACAAATAACACAAGGAACAACATTCAAATTTGCACAACCAATGATTCTATGAGCCTCAGAGAAATGACATGCGCGTAACCAGAAGCATCTTCAACACCTGTCTTTTCTCTAAACTGAAAATCAGATGGTCAAGCAGGAAGGACAAGTAACTAGGATTTCTGGCAGGTAGACAACTAGCAAACAAGGAATACGCAGAAGGAAATGGAGATGATGGATTAGACATACCTTGAGGAGATATTTGAGTGACATCACACAATAAGCCGTCAAGTGGAACCCGAGTGGTAAGTGACGGATCACGAGAATATGTAATTATTTTATTTGAACTGATTAAAAATGCCCATTAAAACTTTCAAAAGGAATGAATACTGAACAAAGAGTACTCTTTTCGATAAATTCATCATCAGGATCTACATTTATACATACATTATAGTGAATGAATGAGTTAGTGTTATAAACAACCAGCACTCTGTGTCCAAAAGAAGCAAGTCCAACTCCTACTATTGCCCTGGCCTTCAGCAGAAGCTATAAACCCATGAATTTGTACTATTATCTTTATTAATGTTTCTGACATTCAGCTTATTCTATGTTGATGCGTTTCAGCTGTAATCTATCAATATTATTGATTTGATGTTACTTAAACATTAATGTCGTTTATAACACTAACTCATTCATTCACTATAATGTATGTATAAATGTAGAGCCTGATGATGAATTTATCGAAAACAGTACTCTTTGTTCAGTATCCATTATTTTATTTATTTTATTCCTTTACGTTCCCAGTGGAATATAGGGCTTCAAGCTAGCGGGCTTGAAGTTTTGTTAGTAGTGCTCTTTACTTTTACGGGATGGGGTTGCTAGCCTCATGCCTAACCTCCTCGCTTTACCAGTCTTATTACTGGACTAGCGAGGTAAAGGAGTGAGTCGGCCGGGGATCGAAACCCGGACCACTTGCGTGGTCAGCGACTATTCTGTCACTGTGCCACCGACGCACCAACGAGGCTATGTAAAATGGAAATGAATGCTTGTGGGCAATCGTGGGACCAGCTAAAAGTGAAAGCAGAGAATTAAGAGTAATTGAGATGTTCCGCTGTAGCCAGATGTCTAACTCTCAACGGAATGAACGAGTAATCACGATTACATTACCAATATGAACAATAATAGTATAAACAACATGCTTTTATGCATATATTCACAGAACAAAAAATAACAAACCATAATATGCTTTTAGTAGGTCTTCTTTTTCTAACCAACGGCTTTGTAACCACTTTGATAAAGTCTCATTTGTAGCATCGTTTAGCACATGTTTCTCACTTCCATTTAGTATTTCCTTCACAGTGAAACGACGAATATGATAGTGAACTTCACGTGGAACATGACCATGCACTAGATTAATTTCCGGGGATGGTAGAAAGTCTGGATAGGCGACTGTTACATCATACACTTCAGTCAGATTATCTGTGATGAGGATTTATCAGAAAAATAAAAGCAACAGACTGTGAGGTGATGATTTATTTTATTTACTTACAACTATGAACTCGATTTAATGGTGTCATTATATTACTACTACTTAGCACCCACCCATTCCCCCCAAAAAAATAAAATATATGGTGAATCTAAGTGCAGAATGGACGGATAACTGATCAAACGATGTGAAACTATAAGTAGAAGTCTAACTAACAATCTAAATTGTTACACACCGAAGAATCAAGCAAAATAAAGAAACAAAATGACACTATAAATAGACAAACACTCATCTTTTCAGAATTCAGGAGATGGTAAAAAGGCAATGTATCTGCGCCATCGTGAGTGGTTTCAAAGCAATGACGTTTAGTGAACCGGCGACACTAATGTTAACACTGATGAACTGTACTCATGGTTTAAAAAAAAATAACAGAGTTACAATAAATCCAGCTCCAAGTGGATAATTATTCATTAGTGAATGATTGACAAAAATACATATGTCAACCGGAGTCCAATGTAATTATACAGACTGCACATTAGTATACGACAGTATGAAACAGCACGATGAGTTTCTTTAAACAGTCGTGAACATCGCAGTATAAAACTTGTTCTACAAGATAACAGTTAGGTTGAACCTTGTCCATTACAATATCTCTCTTTTTCCTTCACGTTTCCAGTGGAATATAGGGCTTCAAGCTAGTGGCTTGAAGTTTCTGTAGCAGTGTATATTTTTACAGGATGGGGTTGCTAGCCTCATGCCTAACCTTTCCTCTTTACCAGCACTGTTTCTGGCTTAGCGAGGTAAAGGAGTGAGTCGGCCGGGGATCGAACCCCGGACCATGTGCATGGTCGGTGAGCGTCCTAACCGCTATGCCACCAACGCGCCCATTACAACATAGCAAGACATAAATAGTAAGGTCGTGTAATACAAGAAAACCACAAATCAATGCCTAATAATAGTTTTTGTAATCCCAGCTAGACTGTAATATTTTCATTTAGGCATACTTCACAGATGAAACAAACACCATCTACTCATTTTACATAATTCAACAATTTAAAAATAGAGCATAAAAACAACAACAACTTGAAACTTCATTGAAAGTTATGTGTCCAGTGTAAACACACTTCATCATCAGAGTATTTACTCTTGAAATGAAATTAAACCACCTATATGTCATTTATAAACAAAATACCATTTACTAGAGAATGGTTCTTCTTTTTTTCAAAGAAAATTGTAACTAATAAAACATAAATTAATTGCAACATACAAAACTGGTGGAATAAAACGCCTATTTTCAAGAGAAAGTAATAGTTGGTTGTCTTTTGAGAAAACTGAGTGAATTCCCTGTCACCTGCTAGTGGAAATCTGTTTTGTTAGGTAAACTTTTTGTATTATATATGCCCACACCAAGTTTACTTTTAACGGTTTGAAAACATTTGGGCATTGGGTATATGATATTCGTTGTAATAAAGATTTTAGTATTTCTCAATGAATGAAAAACAAAACGATATTGTTTTTACTGACGTTTCACTATTTAATGCTAATAGCTTTATCCAAGTATTTTTCTTCAAAAAATCAGACACACTGAGAAGCAACCTTGTCCATATAAAAGACCCAATCCCTAAAGATTCTCTATCTAATTGTGTCTATAAAATAAAATGCTTGGAATGTGATGCGATATACATCGGACAAACATCTCGAGAAATCGAAATCAGAAGAAATGAACACCGTAGAGCAGAGCATCTGTTAGACTACCGAGAAACCCGGTTGGACTAGAAAAGCTTGAAAAATCACCAGCCATAGGTCCACACGCTGTAGAATCAAGCCACAAAATTGATTTTGACAATATTGAAGCAATCCAGAAAAACTTCAGAAATCACAAGGAACGTCTAATATCAGAAGCACTTCATATCAAGTGGAAACCAAATTGTCTGAACAGGAATGATGGACTAAAACAGAATCAGACTTGGTTACAACACCCCCTCCCCCATGGAGTGACAAAATCAACACGAATGTGATAAGCAAGTTCACTATGTAAACACATACTGCTTTTACAATATTACACACTGATCAAATCCAACAATCTACACTAGGTTTTGTTATCTTTACCAATTGACCAACTTGACAACGAAAAATGACCCCAGGCAGACGGACGATGATCAAGTTAGTAAATTTTGTTTTAAGATTTGATCGTGTTTTGATGTTATAACAGATGTACTATTATCTTTGATATTTGGTTTAGTGATCTTCATTGTTATTTCGACTTTCAATATGTCCTTTTAAGTTGACCTAACTTGTCTATTTTCTCACTCCTTAACTCTTTGTTATATATATGCTGAGATTTTGTAAATTCCGGTTTAATAATACTTTGATAAGGCTATTAGCAGCATTAAATAGCGAAACGTCAGTAAACAAAACAATATCGTTTTGTTTTTCATTCAATGAGAAATACAAAAAGCCTTTATTATAACTTCCTGTATGACTCTCCACTGCTGTATTCGTATGATGAATTATTAAAACGACGTGGAATTATTATAACTCCCAATTAATTACGAAAAAACCGAAAACCAGAGTGAAGACTCCGTATACTGCAGTTAGCTCAAGGAACTAAAGTTCTATATTTAAATAGGAGTAAGAGCCTATCATATATATATATATATATATATATATATTCCTTTGCGTTCTAAGAGCAACTTAAGGTTTCGAACTTTAAGCTTTGAGGCTTCAACAACCCTTGTGTTTTAGAGAGGTGAGGTTGCTAGTCTGACACCACCCAACTTTCCCTCCTTTCTGGGCTTAGGTTTAGGAGTTCATCGACTGGGAAATGAACCTAGGCCACATGGGTTCCTGGTGGGCATTTTACTCCTAAACCACTGACGCAGATAGGCGATGTATACACAGACTAGTAATGCATTAATTAAGTTATCAATAAATATCATATTACAGCACGAATATAAAACAGTGAAAGAAGATATAAATACAACTGGAGTGATGAAAGTTTTCAAAAAACAAATACTCTATAAGCGTTTATGACTGAGATAGCAAGGCAGCTTGAAGAAGAAATTGCATCGCTCATATGATATTTACCAAGGCTACATGAATGTAACAACAACAACAACAACAATCACAATAAACACCACGTGATTAACACTAAACGTGAGGAAAACACTCACTGTAGTAGGCGTAATTACAGGTAAGTAAGCAAACAAATACAACCACTCAACTAGCTATGAACGAGATTTTATTTTGTGAAACAGTGAAACACCCAAGTGAAGACAGAAACTCTTGAACTGAATTAGTTTTGTAAGTCTTTCTTTATTTCTTGATTCCACAAAGCATTTTGGTACAGGTATGGGATTTTCAATATGTGACATGGGTAGCCCAAATTTAGCAGACTGACCATTGATATCAGGTGTGCATCGGCCAGGGATCGAACCCCGGACCATGTGCATGGTCGGCGAGAGTCCTAACCGCCGTGCCACCGACGCACAATCACTGCAATCCATAATTGAGGTACTATAGAGCGATATTAAATGCCGGCCTATTCAGTGAAGTACGATTCAGCATAAACAAGAAATGCATGATATCTCTGTTGGCATATTGGCTGCTAATATAGACGCTTCTTTTATAGTGTCTTCGAATCAGCATGATACCAGCTGAATGCTAATGGCTAGCAATGAAGTCACACATGATAAGAAATTGTGAAGTTTCAATAAATGATAAGAACTGATATCCATTGCACAAGAAATGTTTGTATTGGCTTATTGGCTTAGCAGATGAAGCTTTAGTGTTTGAACAGATGGGTGCTGAGCTCCAGTCTCAGCTGAAACGCCACCTTCCATCCAGTCCCTGTATAGGACGAAATGCATGGCATAATTCTACTCACAGCCAGAAACAATCAAGCAAAAAAAAACACAAAAGTTTCATGACATAGAAGTAGGTGAGAAATCAAAGAAAATGCATTACAAATGATAAGTAACAGATAAACTCAGTTTCGATAGGTGAAATGATAGAGAAATAAGAACCCACTTCAAGACTAGCCATTCACAAAACGGCTGGCTCAGAAGTTGAATATTCTCAATGAAAAAAAAAAAACTTTGTCTCAGAATATAAGATTAAAAGCCGCTAGTTTTAATGGCATTGTAATCAAACCTATATTGAAAGTCTTATTACAACGTACAACTCACTGATAGGCATCAACAAGGACGAAATCTCAGCACGGATACAGAGGGCTAGTTTCTCCTAAGCCAGTTTACGCAATCTCTGGCGTAGACGTGATATCCGACTATCGACCAAAGGGCGGATGTACTGCTCATCAGTCTGCTCCGTCCTCCTTTATGGCTGCTAGTGAGACCTGGCCATTGAGAGTGGAAGACATGAAAAGATTATCTGTCTTTGACCATAGGTGCCTGCGCTCTATCTCCCGTGTCAAGTAGTATAATAAGGTGAGCAATATTGAGGTTAGGCATCAGTCGACTGCTAGGCAAGGAGGGGAAATCAATCAACGAGGCTGTGAAATTACATAGAATGAGATAGCTAGGATATGTGTTACGTATGCCTAGTCATCGCTTTCCTCGACCGACGAGCAATGTTAGCTGACATAGGATTGGTCAGGCTGGAAAAGAGCTAGCAGCGGTCGAACAAAAACTTGGCACCAGTCAATGAAATCTACAACAGTTGGTCTAAGCCACGTAGGAAGGTGCAGACTTCCTGGTTGGGGTCCTAGGGACGGTAAAAACAAGTGGTTGGAAACAATTGGTGACATGGCTCAAAATCGTTCTCAGTGGCACAGGTGCATCCACTCCTTGTGATTTATGGTTTCCAATGAAACTGTTTTGCTCTTCGTTATTACTCTTCCTTTGTCTCACACCTCTGCTTACTGTCTCTATTATGCTTTTCTTGTACTTTCTTCTCTTGCTTTGTGTGCTACATGGAATGTGGCAACTTGAACTGCCGCACATCGGTGCAAAGTTCTATGTCGAAAACAGACAGA